GTGGCCTTTCTCCTCAGTGCTAATATTGGTAATGATGGAAAAAGTGATGAAAAGTCTTGTTGATTTTAGTTCCTTAATAACTGGGGAAGAAAAAAACGAAAAGTTTCCCAGTCAGCAACAATGCTAGAAAGGCAGTTCTTAAAAAAATATGTAAAGTATAGAAGTAGAATACTTGATCTGTACATGGAATTTTATTTATTTTATTTTTTGACAGAGAATTTTTCAAGACTAGTCTTTCAAGGAATGTTGGCTTCACTAAGTGTGTCAGAGACATCAGAGCTCCAGTCCAAACTTTCAAGTGTCACCTCAGATCCTGAGATATTCCCAAGGTCACCAAAATCAAGATGCTTTTCCATGTTCCTGAGTAGTAATTAACCAGTGTGCAGATGCAGTGTGGTCAGAGCAGGGTATTAGATGGGCGTTGCCCCGCTCCCAGGGTCCACTCTGCCCTCGGGGACATCGACAGGCTTCTCCAGCTCTGCCAGTCACTGGCTGTGTGTCCTCAGGGCAGTCCCTTCACCTCTCTGTGCCTCACTTTCCAAATCTGTAAAATGATGGTAGTAATAGATATAACAGTGCCTGGCACCTAGTGTTTTTTCAATAAATACTAGCTGTTACTAGTACTCCTACCACCCATGCAGAGATCGAAGCCTCTTCTCAGATCTTTCCTGGTGGCTCTTAAGATAAACTCATATATACATTTTCCAGTTATGAAAGCGATGCACACGTATCACGAAAGCTTGAAGAGAGACAGTAATAACAAGAGCCACTACTCACCGAGTGCTGCGTGCAGCCTGGGGCTTCTGCACATATCGATTCTCACAACAATCCCAGCAGACAGGCACTATTGCTATTCCCACTCTACAGAGGTGGAAACCAAAGCACAGAGAGGTAAGTCGTGTGCCTAGGGTAACACAGCTGGCACACAGCAGGGCTGGGGCTTGCACATATGGTCTGGTTTCAGAGCCCACATCCTTCGCCCCTGTGTTACCCCACAGTCCGCATCACACAATTGCTGTTCACATTTTCACATTTCTTTATCACCATTTTCCTGTTGTGCACGTAAAACACACAAATTAGAAAAAGGCACGTGTATTAGTCCATTTCTGTTGCTTATAACAAAATACCTGGAACTGGGTAATTTGTAAAGAAATAATATTATCGTGTACTGTTTCAGAGGCTGGAATTCAAAGTCCAGGGGACACATCTGGTGAGGCCCTTCTTTGGTGGTGGCTTTACAGCAACACAGGGTGTCACATAGCAAGAATGGAGGAACAGAGAGAGAGACTCTCATGTGATCTCCTTTTAAAGCCAAGAGAACCATGCCCAAGACCACCATTAAACCATCAATGGGGAGGGATGCCTGAAATATTTCATGGTTATTTCTTGAGCACCGACTGGTCAGGAAGGGGCTGGCTGTGGCTGTCTGGGCCAGGGTTAATTCTGAATCCTGGGGAGGACCTAGTGCTCCCTGAGGTTCCCTGGGGGGGCTTGGGGCAGCTTCCCTTCACCATCTGATATGCAGGTGTTTCCAGATTTGAGCAAAAAGGACTCCTATCCTGTGTGATCAGCCAGCCCTGGAGCCCGGGACCTTCAGGGCAGTAAGTAAACCTGTGTGCAAAAATGCATCTGGAGACAGTGCCTGAAACACAGCTGTGGTGCTTCCTGGGTCTGCACAAAGCAAAATGAATAAATACCACAGAGAGAACGACGGAGTGTGAGGAAGACTGTCACAGATGTGCCTGGCTCTGGGAGGCTTGGGCTCCAGTGTTAAGAGGGATCTGGGCATACAGACCAGCCAGGGTGCGGGCAGAGCTGAGGAGAATTGCACACAGACTGTCAGCCTTCTGCCTCCAAGGTACCCCGAAGCCCGACCCCCTCAGTGGCAAATCTAGGGCAGCTCTAGGGCTGAGCTTCAAACTTCGGGGGACTTCAGCATTTTGTCTGGTCTGGAGAGAGAGCAGGGTTGGCTCTGGCAGGGACGGCTAATGGGACAGCCAGGCTCGGACATGTGGGTTGCTGTCCTGAGAGTGGGCTCTTCGGGATGAGGTCCGGCCATCTCACATGGCTCGGACATGTGGGTTGCTGTCCTGAGAGTGGGCTCTTCGGGATGAGGTCCGGCCATCTCAGCTCACCTGCTCCAACTTCCCTGACACTCAGTCCATTGGTGCTGGGAGCAGAGACACAGGGTCACTGGGTGCTTCCAGCAGGAAGAAATATGATGTCCATTTAGAGTCCCTGAAGGAGAAACTGGCCTTTGCCTCCACAGGCTCTCGCCCACCCCTGCCCAGCCCAGGGCATCCCTGGCTGCATGGCTCAGGGAGGCAATGCCGGTGACTGCGCTGCTGGGGCCGGGCTCAGCACTCAACAGATGCATTGTCGTGGGTCCCAGACAGAAGCCATCCTGGGCAGGAGAGGTCACTGCCTCAAAGCACCCACAGAATCTGTAGCCAGAGGCCTGAAACATCACCTGGAACAGGACCGTTGCCCAGGAGCCTGCCTCGGGACCAGCCGGAGTCTCCCTGTCCACACACTGCTCTGTAGGGTGGACAGGAGGAGAGGATGGAAGTATGACGTCACACAGCATGTGGCTCGGCACTGCATGAAACTAACTCTTCCCGGGTTCGCGGTGCTTGAGGAGGGGAGAACGACGAGAATGAACCTCTCAGGGCATATACTCAGCAGACGAGGTGCGTTAGCCCCATAGTGAGTCCCACAGGGTCCCAGTCTGGTGGCTCAGTTAGGGTGGAAGCAGGCCTCTGTGCACAGTCAGTTCTGAGGACAGTGTGAGGTGCCTTCGTGCCACGGTCCGTGGGAGCGCTGGTGTCTGTCACTGCAGAGACCCGCAAGGATGGGTTAGGTCCCTCAATGCCAGGGGCTGCTGGTGCTGGGGGCCAGGCTTCACAGTGCCCAGGCCTGTCGCAGCCAAGCTATGGGCATTCAGGGAAGTAGCCGACAGAGCGTAGCTGTCACAGCCTAAGCCACACGGGCACCACGCACTCATTCACTCACTCACTTGTTCAGTCATTCCTCTGCTCAGTTTCTGCCTCACCGAGCACAGGGCGAAGTTCTGGAACAGGAGGCTCCTCCTCTGGGGTTGCTCCCTGACTCCTGGGGCATCCTCAGGACAGTCAAGGTATTGGACGCTGGGAGCAGGTAGGAAATGATCCCTAAGGCTTCCAGGAGGAGGTGACTTTCAGGGTAGAGCTCCAGGTCAAAGAAGATCAGAACAGAGACCCTGGAGGGCTGGGCCTGGGGCAGCCTGCTGAGTCTGGAGAGGGAACACGGGGTAACTGGGACCTATGGGTCCCCATCTAGTGTCCTCATGCAGGTGTCCTGGGGAGGAGGGTGCTGCATCTAAGCATGTGTTCTTCTCCTGCAGGTGTGAAGGAGAAAGCTCGTGAAGGGCCAGGTACATGGCACCCTCCTCTGTCTGTGTGTCTGTGCACTGAGAGCTGGCGGCCTTGATGACACCCTGTGCTTTGATTTCTCCCTGGTGGGTCTCCCAGGTCAGAACCCTCCTCCCCTGGCCACATCTTATGCATTGTGTGTCAAAAAATAGAGACCAATAATTGGTGTTGACTTAGTCTTTTAAATCATGTTGAAAACAAAAATAGTGCCAACTTTCATAACTGTCCACGTGTTCACCTTCACCAGAGATCTTTATTTCTTCACTCAGCTTGGAGTTCTTTCTATGGTCCTTCCTTTTCAACCTGAAGGACTCCCTTCATCCCAGCTTAGCCAGACACATTTTGACCAAGACCATGGTGGCCATGAAGGTCATCCCTAAAGGTCAGCAAGCTCCTCCAGCCCCCAGAGACTATTCTGTGAAGTTGATATCAGGAAGGCCCTGAGTCACCCGGACATCTTCCAGCTATGAAGTTATGGTTAGCCAGGGATCCGAATCCTTGACCTCAGTGTAATAAATAACACCACACTCTAACCAACTGAGCCAGCGGGCCAGCCTCCATATCCCCACATATCGTTCACAGGAATTTTGCAAGGCCCCATCTCCCGCTCCGAGCCTGTACGATGAAGACTTGGGCCTGAAGTGAGCGGCTTTACACTCATCCCTTTTATAACTTATCCAGTGGACAGGGTGCCCACCCTGACTAGATGGGTTCAAAGGAGATCCCCAAATGCATTCTTGTGCTCGAGAACCCTAAAGGAATATTTAGCCGACTCTTTTTAGTTCAGGGAAGAGAGCGTTTATTTGAATCATGCTGATGTCCAAGGCAGGGGCTGTCACTGGGCGATGGGGCTCAGGGGAGATGCCCAGATGCTGGGGCTTTAGTCCCCAACATCTTACGTACATCGGGTTCACCCCAGGGGACCATGCTCAGGGCAGTGGACTGAGTGTCCAGGATGGTTCTGTAGGACCTGAGAGCCCACCAGGATAGCCTGAAACCCAAGCCCAGACAGATTGCAGCTCACAGGGACCGGGGTCTCTCACTGTCTCCTGAGAGCAGTGACATCCCAGTCTCCCTGCTTATCCAGGTGCTATGAAGGATTCAGCCCCATACCCTCCCTCTGCCTTCCATCCCAGCAGCTGGACAGCACGCTAATGCTGCCCAAGTGGAACACCGGCCCGTGCTGGGGCCAATACTCAGACCACATGGAAGGAAAAGTGCTTTCTTTATTGCTCTGGCTTGGCTTCTCGTGTGTCTCCCAGAACGTCCGTCTGTCCTCGTGGCCTCAGCGCATACCGTATTGGTCAAAGTGGGGCTCAGCTGTCCACCTGGCAGTGGCCTCAGTCAGTCTTCCTGAAACCTAGAAGGCAAAGCCGGTAGGGTAGCACAGGATGCTGAAAGCAGATGCCCAAATACCATTCCCAGCTGGCATGATGTAGTCACCCAGAAGCCACAGGCCTTCATGACCCACCGTCATAGCAACTAACTTCCCCTTTATTAATTAAATGGACTAAAGGAGACAGATATTTCCTTAGCACAGAGACGCACAGCCACCTGGCCTTTCCGTCCTGAGGCATAATGGTAGGCACAGAGCTGCTGGTCAAGGAGAACGTCCTGCAGCCCAAGCCAGCCACTCTAGCTGTGTGACTCTGGGCAAGTCACTCCACCTCTGCAAGCCTCAGTTTCCTCATCAGTCGAGTGTGAGATTACTAAAGGCCACTTCCCCAGTTGCTATTAGGCAAATGAAACCGTAGAAAAGATGGTGTCTATGGGATAGTAAAGTCCTCTGAGAGAACGAGGAACAATCAGGCCCCTGCTTTTCTATAGAGGTTCACACGTAAGGCCTTTCACGTGCATTCCTCACTTGACTTTCACAACACCCTGTGCAGTAGGGATTATTACACCCATTTTTCAGTTGAGGAAACTGAGGCTAAAGGAAGATACAGGCCCTGTCCAGGGTCACAGAGCTCATAAATTGGCAGAGGTAGGACCCAGGCCCCCTGCTTCCAGACCTGTGCTCTTTCCTGTATGCTAAGCCTTTTTTGAAACAGAAGGCCACGATAAGGAGAGAGAAAGTGAACATAGGAAGAATTTAAAACTTACCCATCAGCCTCAACTTCTGAAAGAGGGGGATGAAGCCGTGCAGGACGCTGTGGATCCGGTACACTGCCGAGAAACGAGGAGAGAGGTGAGTGAGGCTGTGTCCCCTCGAGGGGTACGAGGTCAGACTCTCCCACATGTCCTCCCCCACACAAACGAAGCTCTAATGGTGGGATTTCAGGCAGCAGGTTAAGCCTAGCTAATAGAACTAGAATTATTATTATGAAAAACAACCACCATAAACAGCAATAATAGTGACAAGAAACTCAGCGAATTCAGTACCCAACCCCATTCACCATGGCGTTTGGTATCTGGCTAGTTCAATTTGTTTGCCACTTTAAACTGATTATGTTGCATTTTTCATGGAGCTGCCCGGTTTTTCCATGGGGTTTTGCCAGTGACCTCACGTCAACCTTGAAAGTGGTTAGGAAGAAAATACAAGCATAAGGGAATTTTTTTAAATGTTTAAGTTCTGACTTTTTTGGTCCTTGGCAAGCATGTAAGGCCGGTCCAGCTACCACCCCTCCAAGAAACGGGGCTGTGTGTGTGTGGCAGGGGTGGGGGACGGCTTACCCAGCCCAAAGTAGATGCCAACGGTCTCCAGGGAGGCAAACGTGAGCAGGCCAACCCCAAGGGACATGAGCCAGTCTGGGAGGGCAGCGAGGGAGAGAAAGGTCAGCCTGCAGGTCCCTGGCCCCAGTCATCCCCCTCCCCCATTCCCAAGGCCCAGCCCCCTCACCTGAGTAATAGTGATAACACACCAGCAAGGCCCCGATGGCAAAGCAGAGGAGGACGAAATGGAAAAACTCATCTGCAAAGGCAGAGGTGGGGAATTACTGTTTGCTTCTTTCTCTCTCTCTTTTTTAATTACAAAAAGTCTCTGCTCAAATGTAACTTTGTTCAGAGATGCTGCTAAAACTAACACAGCACCCCAAGACCCACCCCACCTCACCTTATTATTTTTATAACACTCATCACCTTTCAGGTTATATTTTCATTTCTACATATATTCTGTATTTCCCTCTCCCCACCAACCCCCCCCTCAGGATGTCAGCTCCATGTTGGGCAAGGATTTTAGTCGGTCTCGTTCCCTGCGCCACCCCCAGCAGCCAGAGCAGCACGGGCTCGCAGAAGTGCTCAACACTTTATTTGTTGGATCAATGTTAGCACAATCGTAGAAAATGCAAATATGTCAGGTTTAAAATTAAAAGTTTCAGTTTGCCCCTTTCTCCCTAATCCCACTTCTTAAAGATGAATAGTGATTGGCAGAACATTTTCAGGCATATATATGCACATTTTTAAAACAAAAACGGGATTAATCTGTATATCCGCTACTCTATAATTCGCTTTTTTCCCCTCATCAATAGATCAAGGCCATCTTTCCACCTCAGAGCACATAGATCTGTCCTGTTTTTTTCCTATGGTTGTACAGTGTCCTGTGGTATGAATTTACCCTACTTGATTCAGCTGGGCCCCCACTGATGAACCTAGAGTTGTCCGGTTATTTTCCGTCCCCACCGATGCTGTGCCAAAATCACTACACGAGAACCTTCATGCACTTGCGAACCTCTTCCCGTGGGGCTGGTGCCTGGAAGTGGTATTGCAGGCCTGGTGGGTTTACAGAGTTAAGGGGCATGTAGAGGAGCTGAGAGGCAGGGGGTGTGCCCAGGGCAGGAATTCAGGGGAGGTCTGTAAAATGGCACCCCTGCACTTTGCCAGGCATGTGGGGGCCATGTAGGGAGAGAACGCAACTTTCTTGCTTTCTCTGTGGCTTTAACCCCATCATATGGCTGTGATTAGAGGGGATGAAAACAGATTTTAAGAAAGAAAAAAAAGGACAATTAGAGCTGGTTCCCTGGGGAGGCAGGCACCCTTGAGTAGAGCATCAAGGTTACAGGGAATGTGCCCCAGTTCAGTCCAGTTTGGCCACTGATGTGCTGTGAGGCCTTGGACAAGTGTCCTGAACCCCCTGAGCCTCAGTGTTCTCATTGCTAAAACCAGGAGAGCAGCCTGCACACCACAGTGAGGATGCATGGGGGGTGCACGGGAAAGTGCTTTGTAAATGGTATGAGGCAATGAGACACTGGGCATCACCCCTATCAAGGGACGTTTTGAAGACAAGTGAATGTAAGGCAAAGAGGACATTTCTGTTTTGTTTTGTTTTTGTTTCTGGGGAAAATCAAAATGATTATTTCTAGAACATTCTTGGCTTCTAAAGTCAGTTTATCCTTTAGGAAAAAAGTACATTATGCAGAACTAGACATACTGTTTTAAAAAGTGTCCGGCTTAGGTCTCTTCAGAGATGGGAAAACCTGGGAGTGAGCAGGGTTAGAGAACTTCCCTTCTCCCTCTTCCTCACCCGACTTTTCAGAAATGCAAAATGAGTTTCCAACAGTTTCTCCCTGGATCTGTTTCTCAGTTTTTGTTTTTGTTTTTGATGAATAAGTATTTAGAAAATACAAGGGTTTAAAAAAAAAAAAAAAGCAATAGCAACACAATGCAAGTTCAAATAGAGGACTGGAGGGGTAGGACCGTATAGCCTGAAAGAGTAAAAATATCAGAAACAACTCAAACGTCCATCAATTGGAGGAGGGTAAGTCAGTCACTATGTACACATACTGTGGGATTTTAGGCAGTCGTTAAGATGTCATAGGGGCTGTCCGGTTAGCTCAGTTGATTAGAGCACACAGCCTTATAACACCAGGATTACGGGTTCAGATCCCCGAGCCGGCCAGCCTCCTAAAAAATATGTCATAAAAGTTTGGAAGTCACCGTGGCCAGGCCGTCCAGGAGGACTTGGAGGAACAGGAGTCCGAGCTGTGCCTTGCAGAGCGGAGGCGCCGGACTCAGCGAGCGGGCAGGGCGCGCGTGCGCGGTGTGAGCTGCGAGAGGGGGACAGCCGTGGACGGCGCGAGGAGGTCGGGAGGTCGTGCTCGAGCAGGAAGGGACCTCCGGGGACGTTCCAACCCAGTCCTTCCCAGCCTCCGGCCACCCACCCGCTACCCTGGTGGTGTCGCCGTTTCTATGGAGCGCCGCGCACCACCCTCAGTTTCTTGCTGATCCAGGGACCGTCTGTGCTAAGCCTCCCTTCACCTGTTCTCTACAGAGTTTCCTTCTGTCCTTTCATACGTTTTCTTTAAAAGGAAGCTTATATCACAACAGTAAATGGAAAACTAGGATCTCCTGTCTTAAAAACGAATACGGCAGACAAAATGAGACCAAGACATCCCCACGCTGCCCAGGTGTCCCTGGCGGACAGGGCAGTGGGGACGGGGCGGGCCCAGGGCGCGGGACAGGGTCCCCTCTCTGTGGGTCATAGTGCCATGTCCTTCGGCAGCTTGGACATGGCCTACACTTTGAGAATCTCAGCTTTAGTCCAGTGAGCCTCCTTCTATTACCTGGGAAAGTTAAACAGCATTCCCTGTTTCATCCAGCTGGGCAGAGGCAGAGCGAGGGTCTGCGGCGCAGGTTGCCCACTCCCTCAAAGTGGGGCTTTAGTCACAACTCAAGAGTTTCTAGAACAACTGCTGTCTTTAAAATAAAAAAACCATGGTCTCCCCTCCTGCCCTCACCTTCCTTCCTGAAGTCCCCACCGATTCCAGGCCTGGAGCAGAGGTGACCCCTCTGGCTCCCATGGCTCCTTCTCTGGAGTCTGGTCTAATCTGACCTCATGGCCCACTACCAGCTCCTCACCCTGGCCACAAGGCATGGAGGGCATTTATCATCCTCCTGCCTTCAGGTATAGCAGAAAGAACACAGGACCGGGGTTCAGTCCGAGGCTGTACCACTGATTAGCCGTAAGGCCAATCCCCAAACTTGAGCCTCAGTTTCTAAATATGCAAAATGGGAATCTACCACCTTCTCAAGGTGATTCTAAGTGGAGGAGTTTGCAAACTGCAGGGCACAGAACAGAGGTGGGCTGTGTTTATTGTTCTAGGTCACCAGCTGCCTTTTACCCATAGAAATCTGGACCAGGCAGGTGGAAGCAGCTCTGGTACCGCTTTCCTTACCATCTTTCTTTATGTTCAGTCTTCTTAGCTGAGAGGCCTCCACTTCTCCTTAGGAACAAGAGAGAGAGCAAAGTTTAACTTTGACACAGGAGATCAGGGGGGATTTTCTCTTCCCTGCCTCACCAAGATTTGACCTCCTGGGTGCTTCTTCCTGGGTCAGAGAGCACTTACTGCCAATCCAGCCGAGCAAAATCGTGAAGGTGGGGTGGCTGTTCTTGGGATCCCCACTGGCCCCTCCTCCCTCCACAGGCCTGAGTCTGTGTTTGGTTCCATTTCCCCTGTGCTGGAGGTCCTTTCCTGATTCACAGTGACACTGGCTGATGATGGCATCAGTGCTGGGACTGACACCCCCATCACCACCACCGGGCTGCCTGTGATGCTCTCCCACCCTCTGGAATCCAGGCTGCCTCCTGCTCTCTTTGAGCTGCATATTTACCATTTGCTGGGTCAGAGCCTCTTCTTCGGAGTCCTGGAAATAAGAAACTCAATGTTAGTGCTCAGGCCAGCTTGGGGTCCTTAGCAGCTGCCCCCACCCTGGGGGAGGCCACAGGTGATGTAAGAAAATGCCCCTGTCGAATTCTCCAACCCCCAGGGATCTTCCTATCTGTCCATGGCTAGTTGTAATCTTCTTGTCTATTGGGTGGACCCACTTTCTAATCACTGGCTTCCTGTTTGTGCTGCAGCCATCCCTGCCTGCTTGCTGAAGCTGGGTCAGAGCCCCAGGCCCCAAGAGAATTTGGGTTCCCATTTCTCACCGCTGTGTACCCTGACAGTAGCTAGCTCTCATGGGGAAAGAGGTGATGCCCAGACTTTGCTTAACATCAGCACCAATGACCCCTCTCCCCTAACTGGACACTCACCTGATTCCTCAGAGGGCACCAGCTCTCCAGAGGCATCTGCACAGAAGGAAAATCAGTGATCACCTACCCATGATCTTCTGGGTGAGGAGAAGGTGGATCCTGCTCAGAGATTTTCCACTTGATCCGTAGTGGCCAGGTGGGGACTGGAGCAGACTGGAGCATTTCTGCTCCTACTAAAGGGGCAGCCACCACCCACCAGCCACAGAAGGCTGCTGTAGGATCACCAGCCTGGTCTTACAGGTCTTCCAATTTCCCACAAGAGGCCAGGCTTTAGTAAACTTCCTGATTATAAAAAAGGTTGGTAACTCACACATTCCACAAATCAAAGACACTATCGTTTGTGAGATGTGAGATTATGTGCTACTACGTCAGGAAAACCCCAGCAAATATAATTTTAAGTTGCCAGTGGTTTTAAGATGCATCCTGATTTTGGAGATGTTCAAATGTGAAAAAATGTGGGTTGTAAATTTGATGAAATATATTAACAATCATAATTTTAAAAAAACAGTCTATGAGCCAGATAAAACACATCTATGCACACAGGCCACCAGTTTGCGACCTGTCTGCTCAAACCTATCCAGATGCAGGTGATGAACCTAGCCAAGTGGCCCCAGCCCCACCAGGCCCAGAGGGCATGGGAGCCAAGCTGGGTTGTACACCAGGAGCTGTGGCCCCCCACCCTGAGTGTTGAGCCACTTCTCTGGGCTGCTGAGAGTGAGTTGAGCCCTATAAACCTGCCCTGAGCTGCGGTCTCCCCGTCAATCTGGTCTTGGGTGGCCTTCCCACCTTATTCACCATCTATTAGTTATTCGCCATTCTAGTTCCCTGGTGACCTCTCTCCTAGCCTGTTACTTTCATTCCCCTCAAAAGCAGGTGGGACCCCGACATCCCTCACCACCTGTCCTTCAAGGGCAACCCCAGGACACAAATACCAGAAGGGGGTGCTGAGAACGTGAATAGACACTCAGCACACTGAACTGTCTTCAGCGAAGTGGCCAGAGTAGCCAGTACTGAGAGTACAAGGAACACACCAAAAATTACGTGAAATTAGACTCAAACAGTGTGATTTATGAAGCACCTCAGATGCCTTCAGAAAGGGAAAGTAATTCACAAGTAACTGACTATATTCGCATTTTCTTCAGTGAATATAAATTATTTCTATGATGATGAAAAAAATATTTTAAAATACATGGAAACAACGGTCTCTATTATTATGTTTATTTTTATTTTTATTTTTATTTTTGATGACCGGTAAGGGGATCTTAACCCCTAACTTGGTGTTGTCAGCACCACGCTCTCCCAAGTGAGCAAACCGGCCATCCCTATATGGGATCCGAACCCATGGCCTTGGAGCTATCAGCACCACACTCTCCCAAGTGAGCCACAGGCCACACCCACTTTCTATTATTTTTCAACCAGTGAAACCTTTCTTAAACTACTTGAGTAGTTAAAAACTTTTTTCTAAACCAAGTAATACTTGTTTTTGTAAAAAAAAGAAAAAGAAAATCAGAAAATGCAGATAAGCAAATAAAACACTGGAAAGATTCCCCACTATGCTACCACCCAGGGGCAGTCACTGGTCATATATACATATATATAAAATATCAGTTGAGATTTGACATGGTCGTATTTTGATGCATAACATATCAGTCTTTTTTTTTTTTTTTTTTGTATTCATAAGGGTTTTCTACTGTTTCTCCTGGGTTATTACCAGGAGTTAGGAGATTAAGTAGGTTTTGGAAATGCTGGACTAAACAAAGCTAAGCAGGCTTTCTTATCTGGTGTGCATCGGTCGAGCTGTTTAGCATTCCCACATAGTCCACCGCTTTATCACAGGGCTACCAGCCAAAGTTCCATATTATTTATTCCTCCTCACTGCAGTAATCAGGGTGCTTGTAAACTATTATTCCATAAAATGAGAGCTGTAGAGATCAGATCCATAATTTTTTCCTCTCATGCTTAAACAACCCAGTATTCCAAGAGAAGGGGCATTGATCATGTCCCACTTTGCTGGTTGGGAAGCTGAGGCCCAGAAAGATTGGGTGACTCCTCAAGGTCATCCTGCAAGTCAAGGTTACAGCTCAGAAGAGAATGTAGGATTTCCTCGAGACTGTCTAATCATGGAAGAAAATACCCCCATTCCCACCTGCCAGTGTTCACCTCACCACATCTCCTGTATTTGCCTGGTACTTTTCAGCTCATGAAACCCCCTCATGACCTTGTTTCTGCCCAACGAAGCCCTGAGTCCTCACGCCCTTAGTCTAATACTCTTTTCTCCAAAGCCACTGGAAAACCAGTTACCTCCATAGAGTTGAAGCTCATTCTTCCAAACATCAGGCTCCCCGTGCCCCGCACCTGGGTGGAGACAAAATCCCGTAGTCAGCTCTCCGCAGGCACCATGACCCAGGGCCACTTCCATCTCCCATGGGTCTGAAGCCTTAAAAAGTGACACAGTCCTTGCGCTGGGGTGAGGTGGGGATCCGTCAAGAGGCAAGATGGCCTTACAAGTGCTTTCCCTTTACACAGTTGAACTCCCCCAGCACCTGCAGAGGTGACCGAGTTCAGTTTACTAAGAAAGAATTGGAAGCCTGACCTGGGTCTTGCTAAAGGTCAATAATACTGATAGTTGTCATTTATTGATCACTACTATGTACCAACATTGTAGTAAGTAATTTATATATCTTTTTCTTTTTATTTATTGCTGCCAAACAAATTGCTTAGTAATTTGTATTTAATGTTTCGTTTGATCCTCATGGAAATCCTAAGAAGAAGGTATTTGGTACCTATCCCTACCCATTACACAGATAAGGAAACTGAGGATCAAAAACTTAAATTATTCTCCCAAAGTCAGACAGCCAGTAAGGGGCGACTCCACCAGGTCTGTCACCAAAGCCTGCATTCCAAATAATTTTTATCTCCAGAAATAGAACCCAGAGCTCAGCTCCAGCTCTATGGGCAGCATTTAGTAATGAACTCATGGCTGCTGGGTTCTGTGCTATTGATTCAGGCTCTTTACCTATTTTTCCCACAAAATTCATTGTTTATTTTTATTTTCATTTTTTTTACAAAAATCATTTCATTTTTGCTGTAAAAACAAAACATGTTTATTGTAAACTACTTATAGTATGGGACAGTTCAAAAAAGAGAAAATAAAAATCACTCATAATTTCACCATCCAGAGATAACCACTATTAACATTTTGACATTTTTCCTTCCAGTCTCATTTATAACCATATATGTGTGAATTTTTACTAAGTATATATGAGATCAAATTAATTATGTGATTTGACATCTTTGTTTATCACTTCAGAGTTTGATGAAGAACAGACGTATAACCAGAGTCATTGATCTACTTCACTGTTGTGGGACGTTAGGTGATTTCCTCTTTCTGCCCTGCTATAGACAACGCTGTGAGGAACGTCTTCCCACGACAGGCTGGGTCACGCTGAGAAACTCCACAGTGAGCCAAGTATGGAAAATGGCAGGGGCTGTTGCCTACCGGGTGAGCTGTCCCTGTGGGGGCGTCCAGCCCCCAGGCTCCGGCGACGTTTTGCAGTTACTCTGGGGTGCTGGTCCTCATCACTGCTGTCTGCAGGGAACAAATACAAGCTGTAGGAGAACCTCAGCCTGGAACGAGCCAGCAGTCTGTTCCTTCTGGTGCTCGTTCTCAGAATCCAGTCTACATGAAGAGCGTGATTGGAGGAAAGAGCTCTGCTTTGGAGACTCGGGGTGGGAGGCCTGCCACTAACTTTCTGCGTGACCTTGGACAAACCACTTAGCGTTTCTGTTCGTTCTCAGAATCCAGTCTACATGAAGAGCGTGATTGGAGGAAAGAGCTCTGCTTTGGAGACTGGGGGTGGGAGGCCTGCCACTAACTTTCTGCGTGACCTTGGACAAACCACTTAGCGTTTCTGTTGGTGTCATGTCTACTGAATGTTTCTGCTGCTGCCTTGCCTACCTCATAAAGCTTTCCTGAAGACAAGACGAGGTCCTGTGAGGTGTCATTACTGACATGGTTTCCCCCCACCAAGTGCAGGGGCTTCACCTTGTCGTGAAGGTTCAGCTGATGTCACACCTCCTGTAGAAAGCCTTTTCCAACTGCCCAACTCACACCGACCTTGCCCTCCCCTCTCTGGGATTTCTATAGCACCAGCTGTCTGTGCTTGACTCAGTGGACATTGTCCGGAGCCATTAGAGCCACAGGACATGAGTGCCAGGGGTCCCGTGATGCTCGTCTCTCCATCCACCCTCTGGGATTTCTGTAGCACCAGCTGTCTGTGCTTGACTCAGTGGACATTGTCCAGAGCCATTAGAGCCACAGGACATGAGTGCCAGGGGTCCCGTGATGCTCGTCTCTCCATCCACAACCTGAGGATGTGGCCTGGGTCCTCCACCTCTCGGGGATGCCCAGCATGGAGCAGGAGCTTGATCAAGTCATTGTGCTCTTGGGCAGGTCAGCATTCCAAGAATTCAAGTCTAGGAGTTTCTGACTCCAGGTCCAAAAAATGACCAAGATGGCCCTAGAAATTCTGAGTGTCCCTCAACGTGCTTGGGGACCTTCTGGTCAATCATGGATAAATTTTAAAAACCCAGGAAACTGGGCTGGCAAGTAGCTTAATTGGTTAGAACGTGGTATTCTAACACTAGGGTCAGGGGTTTTGGGGTTTGTTTTTTTTTATGGAGGTTGGTGAAAAATAAATAAATGAAGTAGCCAAGTTAATTGTGCTTAAAAATCAATGCATATGTGACTTCAGCTAGATACAGGAGGAAGAGGTATCAGGAAGTACATGAAAATAACAACAGTGGTATTTCTCTCAGGAAATAAAATTTGGGGTGATTTCTATTTTCTTCCCTTCTATATTTTACAAATATCCACCAATGCAAAAAAAAAAAAAAAAAAAAAAAAAAATTTTTTTTGCTAAAGAAAAAATGCATGGGGAAAAATGAAAAAAAAAAAAAAAAAAAAAAAAAAAAAGACATTTCATTGCTACAGAGATAATGCATGTGGCAAAATGTCAAACAATACAGAAAATAAAGAAAGCAAAAATTACTCAAATTCTATCAGCTAGGGTCAACTCCATCAACATGTGAATGAACGTTATTTAAGCTTTCTCTATGATATATCCATAATATAAACTTTTTATGAAAGGTATTATAGAGCATATGCTGTTTAAATGAGAACAATTATAGTATATTCTCTGTAATTCAATTACTTGAAAAAAATTAACCATGGCAGGAAGACTCACTGTTTATTGCTAGTGCCCCCAGTAGCCATTGCAGAGGCTGGCATGTAGGTGGTGCTCAATAAACATTTACTGAATAAACATGAGTGAATACACTAATAGGTTTCTGGTGATTATCACTGGTGATGAGGCAATGGGTAATTTTTTTCTCTTCTTTCTATTTCTGTATATGCTTTATATTTTCTGCCATGTGCCTATGTATCATCTTTTACCACTGGAAAACTTCATTTAAAAATAACAGGACACCTTAAAAATAAAAAGGCACATAGGGAGCGAGACACTGGATGCCAGTGTGTGAATCAGGGTCCTGCGTGTGAGGAAGATGAGGCTGCAGGGAGCCATCCAGGCTTGGGGCTTTTCAGACTGTGGGTTACACTCTGAGCCTGCAGAAGGGGCAGGGTCTGAGTTCTGGCAGCAGGTCAGCCACGGCAGGCTTGGGGACCATGATCCTCTGCAAGTGCCTCTGCACTTCTAGGGCTCCATGTGTGTTCTCCTGTTACTTTTTCTTCGTGTTCAGTTTTGCTAATTACAGCCTGTCCCATGTGTGCTATGGAGACCCCAGGGAAGGGGCTTATGGCCACACTGGGGGGAGAATATTTGTAGGGAGCAGCACCCTTTGAGGGTCCAACACAATCAGAGGACAGATCATTCCCTCCTGCCCAGGGAGAAGAAACAAAGAGACAGGCAACAGCCCACCTCTAGAAGCTCTTCTTCCAGAACTAAACCTGGTAGGTGGTGGGGTGTTTGTTTGTTTGTTTGTTTGTTTGTTTTTAAGGGAGGCAGCTCCTTTCCAGTCCTGTGAGGAGACTGGCTACAAACAGACCCACTGGACCCACCAACCTGTCTCCCTCCTCTGTCTGCTGAAATAAGCATTGATTTTGTGGCCTGGAGCCTTGGTCTCATCATTTGAAACATGAGGACTTGCGACCAGGGTTTTATGAGCCTTTTTCTTTTAGTCCAGGTAACATTTCACCAAATAAAAATCTTAAACCCAAGCCCACGATGTAAAACAGATCATAGTGCAGGGGCTCTGGTTGGGGAGGGGTAGACCAGAGCTCAACACCTTATCTCCCCCAGTCCCAGAAAGACCTTCAGGGAATCCAAGTTGGTTATGAAGCCCTCTCACATCAGGTCAGTTAGCCTCTCTGTGCCTCGGTTTCCACACCTGTAAAATGAAATACTAACAGAACCTTCCTCAGTGGGTCGCTGTGAGAATTAACTGAGTTATTACATGTCAAGGGCTCGGAACAGGACTTCAATGCTGCTGCTGCTGCTGCTGTACATTCAGCATTACATTTTGAATTAAAAGGATAAAAATGAAAGAACATTCTGCTGTCTCTTGGAGAATAACGTGGTAGCTTGCAATCAAGTCCCTTTTGGAGATGTCATTCACCTAAACCCACAAAAGTACTTGTGGGGAATCGGTATTTAGGACACGATCTCTTTTCTTTTTTTTCTTTTTTGTGTGTGCTTGCCTTCCTTTTATCATATGTTTCTTTTTGGGGTTTGTTTGTTTGTTTTGTTTTGGTGACTGGACAGTACAGGGATCGAACCCTAGACCTCACACTCTAAACACTGAGCTAACCGGCCAGCCTTTCTTTTCCTTTTCTTTTTTTTGTAAGTGACAAAAAATGAAAACTTGGGACATGATTTATACAAAAAATTTAAAAAGTGAAAGCTTTTGCACAAAGATGTTCATGAGCATAATAAACCTGGAAGGGGGGAAATCTTGATACTAAGTTAGTTTTAGAGCTTTTGCTATGTACGAGGTGCAAAGACTTACATGTATAAAGAATTGAATCCTTATAATACGCCAGTGAGGTATTGCCTATTGGTATCATCCCCATCTTACTGATGGGGACACTGGGGCATACAGGGGTTAAGCAGTTTAGTGAAGGACACATAGCTAGTTAGTGGCAAAGATAGCATTTGAACCTACAACAGAGGTTTTGACTACAACACTGCAGTGCCCCTAATTAACCTGCATGCTGCTTTGCTTGAGGGGCTGTTTGATAAGCATTAAAAATGGCTGCAAAGATATTATAGGAGAACATGGCAAAATGCATAGGATGAGACAGCAAAGATTTCAATGGAGAACAAAATCTTCTATACGATCCATTATAACTATGTACAAGGACATGTATAGACAGATGGACTCTAGCAGGGAATGTGGAAAAACAGCATTGAAGTACCCAGTACCTCAATTACTTGAAGTATGGGGGATTGTTTTTCCATGTAAATGTCTTTCTTGAATAATATTGTGATATACACATTTACATGTTTTTAAATCTTTGCTATACCTGAGGAGGACGAGGACGAAGACGAGGAGGAGGAGGAGGAGGAGGAAGAGGAGGAGGAGGAGGACTTGTCTCTCTCATGTTGTTCTTGGGAAAAGGGTCCGGTCTTCCCATCTTGCTTGTCTGGGAGGCACATGTAGGCAAGGGGGTGGGTGTTTCCCACCCTTCCCACCCCAGGGACCACCAGAGCCTCCCCAGGGGTCTACTTGGACTTGGGGAGCCAGGAGGGACTGAATTATCTTCCCAAACATCTATGCTTGAGCCAATGGAAAGTGCTCAGAGACCCAGGGCCTTTTAGGAAGGCCCAAGGCAGAGATTTCTCTGAATATGGACCCTAGAGAAGAGGCTTCTAAGCCCCCTGCCCTGCCCAGAGACCACTGGACTCGGTGTAGTAGTTGCCAATTTAGGATTCTCTGTAAATTACAGAGATCTTATCAAGCCCTAAACCTTCCCATCTCCCATTCTAGTGCCACACAGGACCCTTCCCACCTTCTGGGGACTTTCCCTAGTGCCAGCTCAAGCCACCAGAGACTCCTTGAGATTTGGGGCACAACAGAGGGTCCCCACAGCTAGAAAGTGCTGGGGAACAGACTAGACCAAGCACATATGTGTGTGTGTATGTGTGTAAAACCACTACTTCCTGTTTCAGCTGCAATTTGAGCCACTTCACCACATGAGCAGAGCAGGGTCTCCTTCTGGGCCCCCCACCCCCACCCCCCTACTGCTGGACTTCACCTCCTGGGTGGCCCTGCCCCTGGGCTCTGAGAATGCAAACATACGGTCCAGATCTTCTGTTTCTCTGTGGACTCGACTGTTGTCTTGAGGCTGGGAGGAGGATCCTGAAGTCTCCATGGCTTGCCCTGGAAGACTAACAATAAGTAATTAATAATACCTTAGTTAATGTCCTTAATAGATAAAGAGTTCAGCTGATAAATTAAAAAGACAAACACCCAATATTCAAAGGAATAAGAAAAACAACATACAAAAAAAGAAATATACAATTAGGGAAATTTGAATAATGATTATGTTTTGATAATATTAAGAACTTTTTTTTTCTTTTTTTTTTTTTTCCTTTTTGTCTTTTTTTTTGTGACCAGTAACGGGATCGCAACCCTCAGTGTCGCACCCATACTGCGACCAGCAACGGGATCGCAACCCTCGGTGTCGCGCCCACACCACACTCAACCAGTGAGCGGACCGGTCTCTACATGGGATCCAAACCCTCGGCGGGAGCGCCACCACGCTCCCAAGCGCCGCACTCTACTGAGCGCGCCACCGGGCCGGCCCAAGAACTTATGTTTTTAGGTGTGATATTTATATTGGTGTCATATTTATTGAAACTATCCTTAAATTTAAAGATAAGTGCTGAAATGTTTATGAGGATTTGCCTCAAAATAATCTTGCTGGGGAGCTGGAAGAAGTAGAAGGGGGTCTAAAAAAAACAAACAAGGCCAAGAGTTGAAAATGTTGGAGCTATGTTAAAATACAAATAGGGGTTATCTCTGGGTGGTAACATGGATACTTTAATTTTCTTAGTTTTTACTTTACATTTTACTTTACTTCCTAAATTTCTAACATTATTGCTTTTGTTATAATAAAATAATCAATAATTTTTCATTACTTAAAAATGTAACATGCCACCTTATGTAGGTATAGTGCTTAACAGTTTTACAAAAGGCTTATGTGTCCGTAATTCCATCTGAACCTGATCACAAACCAGTCAGGTAGGAATTGGGATTAATTACTCCTCACATTTGAATTGAAGCTTCTGGACAACAAAACATCTTTCCAAAAGATTGTCTCATTTGACTCTTACAATAATCGTGCAGGGTGAGATTTATCATCCCATTCTACAGAAGAGAAAGCCGAGGCTCAAAGAGATGAGGTGACTTGCATGAGTTGGAACCCCAGAGCCCATATTCTATTTAATCCACCCAAACCATAGGTCTGGGGCACAGCACTGCTCACAGCTGCAGTTGAGTTGGGCTGGAAGTGCCTACCAGGATTACGGATGTAAGCAGTGAAAGTGAGGGCAGGAAGCAGGTGCTTGAAGGTTCAGAACAAGATTTGGAAATCTGACCCATCAGGACACCATACTCTGTGCTTTCCTCAGTTCCCGAGAAAAGCTGGAGCTAACTCTAGAGGCAGGCCTTCAGGTGAGGCCACGAGAAGACCATAACTGTGACCGTGGAAAATCCAAATGACTAACCTCAGTGAGCTGGTGCTCTCCCCTGGGAAAAATACATGTAGCTGCCATGGTGGGGCTGCTCCCCAACAGCCTTGATTTTAGTTGGGCACATGACTACACAGCACTTCCCAGAATCCCTTGAGCCAGGTACGGCCATGTGACTACATTCTTGCCAATGGAATGTGAGTGGATGGGATACGTGCAGTGGTGTGCTGAGAAATGTTTAGTGGCTCTGGGGACGGGGGAGTGCATACACATACATGTATACACACACATAGGTTTGTTATACGTTTAACTGATGTAAAGAATGTGTGGCACACAGTTTACAAATAAGAAAACATACAGGACTCTTTATTGTGAATTCCATGCACCTATAACTTCAGTGCAACTTGGTGTTTCTTGCAAAATCCAATATCAGTTTTTATAATTCTATTGCCAACAATAGTGTCACAAAATCAGACTACAAATAAATGTTTGATTACTACCAAATTCAGCAAAGAAGTTGTTCGCATCCCTGATGAACGAGAGTACTTCCTGTGAGAATGCTGGCTGCTGTCTTCTTTTACACTGACGTGCAAGACAAAAGGGAGACGGCAAAGACGTGCTGGAACTTCACTCGTCTGTCAGTGATGTGAGCAACTTTGCTGGACTGAACAATCCTTTTCAAATTTTGAAAGAATATCTTCTCAATTTTTTGTGCTATTCACAATGTAATTGTTGCGGGTACAGTACAGTTTTAGGTTTAATCTGCCTTATTAACATTTTCTTAATCACTTTCTTAGATTTAGACAATCAACAAAACAAACGAGCTGTGATTTGTAAAGTTTACTGATTTCTGTGGTGTAAAGACTCCCACTGTGACTGATTTCAAGATTCCGTTGTGATGTCACCTAGCACAGTTGGGAAGAGACACACAGGAGCACATACCATGATGTAGTGTTTGCACCATAAGATACAATAAATGTGAATAATCTCAAGTGCACAGATGATAGCAGAACATAGTAAAATAAATTAGGAAGTGATACATTTTGAGTGCTTATTACCTTTGTTTTTAATATAATTTATCTAATTATATGTTTGTATACTTTTATTTTTAATAATGGTGTATTTAACAACTGGCTCCCAAAATTCCTGAAAGTTTGACAATCGGTTCTCACCTCTAGTTCGGCCTGGTTCCAGCTCTGGGTATATCAACTTCCGTCTGCCCTCTGCTTCCTCTTTCCTGCGTCCTGAATGCAGAAACACAGAGTTGGGGGTGGTGAACCAGTGTCAATCCTGCAAACAAAGCCAACATCCAGGGAGAGGCTGGGCAAGAAGGCAAAGGAACCCAGGCCCCACAAGGCCTCCTGCACAGAGCCGCCTGCCCTCCTGGACCTCTGTGTGCACAGGAGGTAAGCTTCTCTCTTGTTTGAGCCACCATGTTCTGGGTCTCTTTGTTACAGCAGCTTAGCCCAGATTCAGAACCCATTCTGACTTCCACCCTGAGAGGAGGCCTCTCTGGCTCATTTGGACTGGGGTTTCTGAACCTTGGCGCTACTGACATTTGGGACTGGATAATCTTTGCTGTCATGTGCATTGTAAGATGTTTAGCAGCCTCCTTCCTAGATGGCTGTAGAAGGTCTCCCCTTCTTCCAGTTTTGAGAATCGAAAATGTCTCCAAGGGCTGTCCTGTGGCTCACTTGGGAGTGTGTGGTGCTGATAACACCAAGGCCACAGGTTCGGATCTCTATATAGGGATGGCCGGTTAGCTCACTTGGGAGAGCGTGGTGTCAACAACACCAAGTCAAGGGTTAAGATCCCCTTACTGGTCATCTTTAAAAAGAAAAAAAAAGTCTCCAGACATTGCCAAATGTTGCTCACTTGGGAGAGCGTGGTGTCAACAACACCAAGTCAAGGGTTAAGATCCCCTTACTGGTTATCTTTAAAAAGAAAAAAAAAGTCTCCAGACATTGCCAAATGTCCCCTGGAGGGCAAAAATCACCCCCAATTGAGACCTACTGGTCTAGAAAATCTACCACAGTACCTTAGCAAGGCAGTGTCCTTCCCTGTGTCTCAGAGTCAGACTGCCTGGGTTAGAATCCTGTCTCTCACACTTCTAGTTGTGGAAGCTTGGGCAAGTTACTTAACCTCTGGCTGTGCCTCAGTTTCCTCATAGTGCTTACCTCATAGGATTGCTGTGTAAATGGCAGGACAGCCCTTAGCAGGGGCTCCAGGAATGTGAGTTTCCTCCTCTACAGACTTCCTGTCACCCTCACACATTCAGCCCAGCCCTGCTTATCCCGTCTCCTAAGCCCCAGCTCAATTACCCTTTTCCAGAATAAAAATTCTCATCTCTCTGAGCAGAATTTAGTTAAGTATTAGGAAGCCACTAGCCAGTAAAACTAATTTATATCAAGGTGTGAGTGACTGATAACCGTAAGCCTCCAGGGCATATTTATATTTTGAAAAGGATTCTTTGCACACAGTAGGTGACCAGTATATGTTCACTTGCTTGAGATAATCTCTAATGGTGGAATTTTAGGTAGAGTAATGCAAGAGATTTAGAGCCACATGTGGGAAATAAATCTGCTGGCTGATGTCAAATATACTCTTACCAAAGTTAGCCAAGCCATGAGCTCTCTGGTCCCATCTCCTTCCTGCTCTAGCTCTCTCCACCACTCTAAAGTCCTGGTCACACACAGCATTCTCAGGCCTACACCACTCTTTCCTAGTGTCAAAATTGTATCTGACCTTCTAGGCACAGGTCAAAAACTACTTCTTCATGAAGCCTTCAGCTAGTTGCCTGACTGATAGCCACCACTCCTATCCCCATGCCCATAACACCCCTCCCTCTACCATCCTTGACTTTCTTGCTAACAAGATTACAATTTTGTTCTTCTGGTCCAGGGTAGATACTTGTTTTCCCAGCCTCCCTTGCAGCTGGGGTGGCCCTGTGACCTGGTTTGGGCCAATGAGAAGTGAGTGGAAGTTGGCCAGGATCCTGGGAAAGGTTTTGCTTCTCCTGGCAAAAGATGCTGATGGGGGGTGCTGCGCCTTGCCTCTTTCCTTGAGCATAAATGTGATGGCAGGAGCTACAATGGCCATCTTGTGACGATGAGGAAAAATGAAAACAAATGCAGAGACGTTGCTGAGCTCTGAGCCACTGCCAAAAGCTGCCTGTTTTCTTGTTATTTGAGAAAAATAAACCTCCTTTTTGTTTATGCCTCTATAGTCAGGATGTTTGGCATTTGCAGCTGAACACAGTTCCGACTAATCCACCCTGTCTTCTATGTTTGTACATTAATTGAGCACCTGCCATGTGCTAACACTGGGGACATTGTGGTGAACAAGTTGCAGATTGTCCTCAGGACTTTCAAGGTAGACCAGGGGGTCATAAAAGCCTAGAGATCAAATCAGACCAGGGTCAGTCAGGGAAAGTCTGAAGGAGAGGATACTGGTCTGGAAGGACCAGAGGGAACAGTATGTGCAAAGACACAGAGTCAAGGGGCCATGGCTCACACAGGAAGCAGTTGGCAGGAAGTAGCTCTACACAGGAATGGGACCTGGGAGTGCCCAGAGAGCACTCCCACACTGTCTCTCGGTACATTTCTGTCCTGAGCCTCAGTGAGCTCTGGCTTGCACCAGATTCTTCTTCCTTAAGATAGGATGTCTTGATGTACAACTC